GGCCTGCGCGGGAGTTCGTCCCAGACCCTCTGTCTTCGGTCTGTTCTCTCTGTCCTGACTGCGCCGCTCCCTCCCCCCCCCTTTCCCCTCAGCGTGGGCCTGCAGGCGGGCGGGGAGGTGACGGACTACGTCCTCTTCTTCAAGACGGAGGAGGCCCAGGAGGCGATGAAGGGCGCGACGCAGCTGGTGGTGGGGGGCAGCGGGGGCGTAGCCGTGGGGCCGTTGGGGCGCTCAGGGGCCTGGCAGTACCACTGGAGCCTGGGGAAGACACGGATGGCGTGAGTGTGGCGTGGGGGAGGGGGGGCGAGCACGGACTGACGAGTTGCCTCCGTCTCACACAGGTGCCTGTACGCCTTCTCCCTGAGCAAGGGCTGGTATGCGGGCGGAGCTTTGACGCTGCAGCTGCTGCGGGGGCTGCGGGAGCGGAACAGGGGCGTGTACGCGCGAGAGGGCGAGGAGGAGGTGGCGGTGGCGGACATCTTGGGCGGGAAGCGGGAGCCGCCGGTGGAGGCTCGGGAGCTGTACGCGTGCTTGCAGGTCATGACGGGCGGGGTGGCGCAGTAGCGGAAAGGAGGGAGGGAGGATGCGGCGGGAGCGCGGGGCCCGAGGGGGGGCACCAGAGGTTTGGGTGTCTGGTCGACCGGAAGGGAGCGGGCAGTGGCTGGGGCTGAGCCTCAGGCCTGAGTGGTTAGGGTTAGTCGTCGAAGGCGGGCGGGCAAGAGAAGGGGCCACGCCCGTGCCTCTGACGGCTCTAGATGTGGAGGGTGGAATCATCGAGGAGCAAGGGGGAAGCTCGGGCCACCCAACATACGGTTGGGCACAGTGGAAGAAGCAGTCGGAGCCATGCTTTTGTTAGGCTTAGGGGTAGGCTTTCGGTGGAGACGCGAGTCGCCTTGCCTTCCTCCTCCTTGCTTTCCATCTTGCTTTCCTCCTTGAGCCTTAGCCTCCGCAATAAGTATCTTCTCTCTCTCTTCTCTTCTTCCTCCCTCGCCTTCCGGCTCCCCGGACGCCCCGACCCGTGTCAGGGTGGGTAGGCAACGAGGGGAGGGGCCTCGGGAATAGTGTGGCGGTGGAGAGGCGTGAGGGGGGAGAGGGCCGAGACGCATGGCGCGGGCGCACCAGCCAATGTATACATGAGATGGCGCGTGACTGGGAATGCATAAGCCAAAAGGAAAGAGAGCATCGGTTCAACGATTCGACGTCCTCGTTGCTTTTTTCCTTCCTCAACCTCCTCCGGCAGCCTTGTCAGCTCCCGGGAGCTTCCTTCAAGTCATAGAGCCCTGGGGCGAGGAGAATTGGTGAGCAACTGCCAGGGTCGTCTCCCCTAGAAGGGCCCCGCCGTCATCTCGGCCGCCTCACTGATGAGGGGGATCTCGTTGGGCTTCTGACCCAGCGTGAGTTTGACTGCCACGTAGGCGAGGGAGGCGGAGAGGATGAAGAAGAGGGTGTTGGCCACGGGCTCCTGCACCCACACGGGCGCCGCCTGCTCTCGGAGGATGGAGGTGAGGATGGAGGGGATGACGAGCGCCACGTCGAGAATGATGGCCTGCTGGAAGTTGAAGCGCACGTACCGGCTCAAGGCCGGCTGCCTGCCCACCCACACGATCAGGAGGTAGATGGCGAGGTTGACGAAGGGGGAAGCCTTGTATACGGCAAGCAGCGGGTCTAGGGCTGCATAGATGGGGTTGAACAAATCAGGGGCGTAGAAGGCAAGGAAGCGAGAATAGTTTATGGAGTCGAGCACGGGGAGGAGGTAGGGAGTGGCGCTGAAGGCCCGTTCGAAAAGAGACGGGCTCTCTGGACTTTGATTGGCATTGAGTCGCATGCAGCAGGACGATCGCGAGGAGGTGGCGGGGGAAGGGGTGTACGGCCTTCTTCTCTGCAGAGAGGACATGGCACGGGGCAGGGAGGTTGGGACAAAGCAGGAGCTTGACATGTCGGTCACGGGGCGGGAGACGGCCATTGCCACGTTGGCAGCAAGGAGGGAAGACAATGCAAGGAGATAAAATGCCCTCATGGGTGGAGCACGAAGGGGAGGGAATCCTCCTGTGCGGCTGTTGCGGTTGGAGAGGTCAGACGTGAGAGACGTAGGGAGGCGATGAGGCGGAATGTAGCAAGAGACAGGCCGGCAACGCCGAGGCCACATCCCGCACGTGTGAACACCTCCGACACGATCAGTGTGATGACACACCCACGCTATCCATTGGTCCATGGATTGGGCAGGACGCAGAGTGCGGGCCATGGCTTTCACTGCACCGCGGGGAGTGACTCGATCGCCCAGGCTTCCCGCCCCTCGCCCATCTCGCCCTCTACGAACTTGCCGGCCCCCCACGGTGCCCTCTCGTGCATGTCTCTCGGGGAATAAAATTGTCATGTCAAGGCTTGCAATTCGCGGATCCATTGTCTGGGTCTTGAAAACTTGTCTCGGTTTTTTCATTCGTCCGCGCCGTCCTCTCTTACCTACTTTCTCCCCTCCCTAGGGCCGCCAAACATAGCTTCACCTGCCGTGAGGCGGGAAACTCTGATCGGGAAGTGAGGTATGGAAGAGCCCTTGATTAACGAATTGCTGCTGGTAGGCGCGGCCCTAGGCAGCACAGAAGTCTACACTACGGAAGATGGCTGGTGAGTGGAGGTAGAAAACGAAGAAAACACATCTGACTTCTGCTCATGTCTCTTGAAATTCCAATTTTTTACGTGCGCAGTCTCGCAGAGCGATTTATTCGCGGCGAAAATTGTCTGGAATGGCTCCAGGATCTTCAAAGGGCCCTG